CTATAAAATACCGGAAATATCAGTCTAGTCTTATCAACGGTCATAGCGGGAATGGCTTTGGTCCCACTATAACATACTTGAGCGCCCTCCATCGCCTCTTTTCTACGGGCCGGGGTTTCGACTCTTCGTTTTTTTGTACATTTTGACTGTACTTTATACTTATACTTTTTGATATTGCATTCGCCACTCGATGTCCAGGTAGGATTGATAATCCATCCCTCTCTCCCTCTTCTGCTGGTGTCACCCCGTGAGACTTGACTCGTTCTTTCCCGAGTGGCACCATTCATTCCTCATTTTGGCTCATATGTCTGATCCGCCACTTCCCAGTCAATGAGATTCAGGACTTCCTTTGTTTAAACATTGGTTCTTCCTACCTTTCCCTCCTCTTGTGTTGAAGCACACAAGTCGGCCGGATGCCATACACTGCGCCGTTGAAGCCGTTGCTCGCCGCGCAGCACATCGAATACTCACCTGAACAGCGACCTAACGTGAGTCGCTCCGCCTCAGGACGTTTGCAGAACTCCCGATCATATTCCTCCACATCCTATACTCGTCGGCATCGGAGGAGTCCTTCGGTTAATACCAAGACGGTGCATTCTACTTCGGAGCCCACGTCCCGCGTTTCTCCCTCCATCGACCCACATGCCAGCCTCCGTCAGTCCCCGCCACCGTTAAACAATGCCATCATTCCCCCGGGGGCGGTAATCTCGCCTCCTGAATCTGCACCCAACTCAAGTGATGAGGAGTCGACATACAGAGGTGAGGGTATCAAGTTGGGCGAGCTGGAGGCGGCCGTCCGATCAATCAAGTTAAGGAGGGAGAGCTCCCCGGAAAGGATGGGCCCTGAGCAAGGAGAGGCGAAGCCCTCATCGAGTGTGCCGATGGCTTCCGAGTCAAAGCCCCCCAAGCCGGCTCATCCGCCGTTATGTAAAGAAGCTCGTAAGATCACTCACTCGCGGTCATCGACCGAAACCGCCATTGACCTCAGCCGGGAAGAGGCCCTGACGAGCTCGCCCGATGAAAGTGATGTTGAGATGTCGTCGAAGCCCCCGATGGTCCGGAAGAAGTCTGGTGAACTGGTTCGCCCGGCTCTTCGGCCCGCATCGGCACGACGACGTCCTTCTAGTATGCCTGGTACTCCAGTGTATTCCAAGGCTGTTCACTTTGACTCCCAGTTGGAACATATTCGACACTTCCTGCAGCTCGACCGTCCCCTGGCTGTGAGCACGGAAACTTCTCCAGTGGACACCCATGATACTGAGGTGGAATTTCCATTTGGTCGTGGCGCCGAGTCAAAAGGTCCATCATGGGATTGGGAGCTTCGGCTTTCGAATTGGCCCAAGGATGTTTCGTCGCACGCACCGGTTCGTCTGGAACGTTTGTTCTTGTCAGCTGATAAGAACACTTTGGTCGGAACTGTGGCTGTGGCCAACCTCGCCTTCCAGAAGTATGTGACTGCTCGATTCACTTTGGATTATTGGAGGACGACTTCGGAAGTGGCTGCAACATTCTGTCATGATGTTCGACGCCAGCAGGCTGTCGACGGATACGATCGCTTTTCGTTCGACATCAAGTTGAACGATCAAGCGAACCTGGAGTCGAAGACTATGTTCATGTGCATCCGCTATAACGTAGGTGGCCAGGAATACTGGGACAACAACAACAGCATGAACTATCAGGTCGACTTCCACAAAGTGCCCAAGGCGAACCCGACAAAGCCTGCTGGTTCGTCCCGTCCAGCTCTCCCACGGAGCCGATCGTTCACCAGCACCCACAGCATGCGTCTCCACTCAATGCCGTCGACCTATGACTTTGCCGACCTGGGCGGCAAGATGGCATTTTCGGATCCCTTCAACGGTGCCGATGGCGCTCCCTTGACACGGAACCCTTCGGATGAGATCGACACGGTCGCACCGCCGAAGCGCCGCGAGAACACCAGTCGCCAAGCATTCGGCAACAGATACGACTTTGGAGCGTCGTTGTCTGCTGCCATGAGGACAAAGTCACCTTTGGATCGGACTGCCCTGTCTGCCCGTGCGAGGTCTGGAGAGACCGCGGAGCAGAAGCCGACCAAAAAAGCTGGTTTTGCGCAGGGCCATGCTTCTGCAGTGAGCGATACCGTCCGCACCGGTCGTGCGGAAGATCTGAAACCTTCCTCACTGGTATCTAGCAAGCCGCGCCTCGAGTCTTCCAATTATCAGGAACTGGTCGATAAATATTGCTTCGTGAGTCTTCCGTGCCACGTCACACTTGGGCAGCTACTAACCTATTAATAGTTTGGCTCCGCTCCAGCACCGAGCCCAAACCCAACCTTCAACGCTCGGGAGGGTGAGGCCCCGAAACACATCGTTGTGGCAGCGTGCCTTTCACCGCCACTTTCGCCTCGCTCTCCGGCGCCTATCAAGGCCCCTGTGATTGAGGCCCCTCGCGAACCTCGCTCTCACAGTCCCCGTACTTCCCCACGCCCCTCGCCTTCCCCAATGGCGTTCCACTATTCTTTTCATCGCGGCTTCATGAATGACCCTCACTCATCGACCGTGATTAGAGGGTGAGTAAACATGGTCTGTTCATAACTGTCTTGAACCCTGGCTATGACTCCTCCGCCTTTGATGCATGTCGTTGACGTCTGTGAAGACAATCTGGGAGTTCTTGCATGGATATGGACAGATCCGTTGACTCATTTTCGATCCCTTTTATCAACACGCCTATTGGCGCCCTTTGATCCGATGATGGTTTTCCTTCCAACCTCTTTATTCGTCAGTGGCCGACCAGCTTCGTCTATGAACGACTGTCTTGCGATGCATAATAAACCGCGGACATTTCATTCATCATTCGCTGCCTGGCTTGTTGCCATTCTCGCATCGAGAGAAATTATCGATGTGACCATCTCAGTTGTGCGGTCATCCTCTCTTTTTTTTTACGTTTTTCCACTTTTACATGCCGTTCCCATACGCATGATGACGTTACGATTTCGAGGCATTTTCGATTCTTTGCTATTCTTCAGATGGCCTTTTTTTTTCAACGCAAAAAGTTTTTAGTCTGCCCGCCTCCGCTCTTGATTTCGATGCATTGCAGATTCTGGGTTTCCATTGATATTGCATGGTGTTCCGGTAGTGTTTTCCGAGTTTGTTTTCGCGTTAATTGCGTTTTTCTTTTCTTTGCTGTTTCCTTTCGATTTCTCTCTGGCTGCTTTCCTGCGATACGTTCCACTTCTGTGGATTTACGTTGATGCGAAGATGCAAAGATACTGATACATGACTGCCCGAGAGGCATTGAGTAGTTTTGAATGACACGAAACATGATGAACACGACTGGAGCAGCTATTGTAGTATGTATAACGGTAGGCAATAATTCAATAGAGCTGGTATGTATGTATTGAAATATACGAATATCACTATCACCACGTGATTCCAACATATCACCTTATCGTCGGTCGAATACCTGTTATCACCACGTGACTATCAATACCGCTCCACGCTGGAAAATGCGGGCTCGGCCATGTCTGATTGACGCGCTGGAAACCGACCCTTCATAACGCCCTTTTTCCTACCCGCCCGGTCGCCAATGACCGCCGCATTGCAGAATGGAGATTACCTAAACCCCCCAACTCCCACCCTTTCCCTTATTTAAGTGTCTTCCCCTCTCCCGCCCGCCATTTATTGATTTTTCTCTTTTCCCATTCTCTCCATCGCCAATCACCGCGTCTTTTTCATCCACGAAGACGTATCTCGACGTCTTCCATCACTTTTTTTTATTCATTTCATCTTTTAATCGACTGAAAATATGTCTGGACGTACGTATTTTTCTATTCTCGCTCGCTACACCTCTACCTCATCGTGTTGTCGTCTTTGAAATGCCCGATCGGGATGTGGTGATTCCCCTGTGATGCACGTGATCTTGCCTCAGGCTCCCACTTGCATCACACCTTGCCTATCTGGGCAAGGGCTATACATCACGGCCATCTTATGATGACCTCGCCATACCACCACCTCCCCTCCACTCCCACAATATACCCCTCCTAACCTGACCTCACCGTCTCTACCTCCCTGTCTACACACCCTCCCTCACACTCTCTCCACCTTGACATATAAACTAACAAATACACAGGCGGCAAGGGCGGCAAAGGCCTCGGCAAAGGTGGTGCCAAGCGCCACCGCAAGATTCTACGCGACAACATCCAGGGTATCACCAAGCCCGCCATCCGCCGTCTCGCCCGCCGTGGCGGTGTCAAGCGTATCTCCGCCATGATCTACGAGGAGACCCGCGGTGTCCTCAAGACTTTCCTCGAGTCTGTCATTCGTGACGCTGTCACCTACACCGAGCATGCTAAGCGCAAGACTGTTACCTCGCTTGATGTTGTCTACGCTCTCAAGCGCCAGGGCCGTACCCTCTACGGTTTCGGTGGTTAAATCTGATCACTTTTGTGGTTGGGATACAGTTACTCCCTGTGTCTTTGCTCCTGCTTTTTCTTTGGCTTGGTTTTTAATGCGCTATGGTGCGACGGTTTCTTTCTTTTTTTGATCGCTATGAATCGGTTACGGGGTTTATGGGTTGGATTCGGTCGTCTATTCCATGGGTGGGACCCGGGGTTTATTTGGACGGTTGAGTCCTCAGTTGATGTGCTTCTTTCGTATCTCCTACGTGTGTTCAAATGAACAATAGCCGTCAGTCTTATGATTTCTTTGTAGATGAAGTACTGTACTCCGTAAATATGAAGCGGTGAGTATGGCCTGATAGCACAGACCACATGATCTGCATGATGTAATCGATCTCTCCGCAATTCAACCTCGGCCTTCACGTTCGTATAAAGGGTTGTTCTTCCATGCTTATTGTGTCAATACGGACTTACTACATCCTTGTCCATCTCATGTATACCACTTAATACAAGGCTCCGAAATTTACTGGCCCCAATCCACCCCTATCAGCATCAATCCCATTGAACCCCGGACTCACCACAGGTGAAGTCCTTTGTTCGCATCACCTCATCTAGTCATCCAGCCATGGCAGAATACAAACTCTCATACGAGTCCCAACTGGTACATTTACATCCCCACATGCCCACACTACACTCCCATATCAACAACCCCTACTCCGCATCCTTATCAGCTAACATTAACACGCAAACAAACAGGACGTCTACCATCCATCCTACCGCTTCGAAACCCACGATCCACGCGACTGGAAATCAGCCGCCGGCCGCGGTCCGGCACTCCCAGCTCTAGGAAATGCAACAGCCGGCGCTGTCGGCGCAGCCATTTCCAACGTCGTCGTCTACCCACTCAATGTGATAGTAGCACGGCTTCAAACTCAGAAACGAAAAGATGTTGACTCGACCGAGAAATCGGACAATTATAGTGACGAAGAAGAGGAAGAATATACTAGTGTCCTCGATGCCGCTCGCAAAATATACCAGCAGCAGGGTATCGGCGGCTTCTACCCCGGTCTCGTGCAAGATACGTGGAAGACAGTCGCCGACTCGTTTCTTTTCTTCCTTGCCTATAGCGCTATTCGACAAAAAAGGATTATTGCACGTGTAGGTGCTGAGCGAGCGGCGAGGGGTAAGAATATTGTCCTTCCTGTATTTGATGAGCTCGCTGTTGGCATTCTGGCTGGCTCGTTTGCTAAGTTGTTCACTACGCCGTTGTCGAATATTGTTGCCCGGAAGCAGATGTCTGCTGCGCGGACAAAGGGCAATAAGAAGAGTCTATCGACGGGTGATATCGCTTCGCAGATTCAGAAGGAGAAGGGTCTTGCGGGTTTCTGGTCTGGGTATTCGGCTACCCTGATCCTGACGCTGAACCCTTCTCTCACTTTCTTCCTGAATGAGTTCCTGAAGCGGGCTCTGCTACCACGCGCAAAACGTGATAAACCCTCGCCAGCTGTGACTTTTCTTCTCGCGGCGCTGAGCAAAGTCGCCGCTTCTTCTATTACATATCCTTTCTCCCTTGCCAAGACCAGAGCTCAAGTCCTCAAGTCCACATCCAAATCTGGATCTCCACAATCCGCATCGCAATCATCCCTCCTCAGCACCCTCACTCCCCAGATAATCTCAACAGTTATAACAATCGCTCGCAAAGACGGCTTCAAGGCCCTCTACGCCGGTCTCCAGGGTGAAGTCCTCAAGGGCTTCTTCTCGCATGGCTTCACAATGCTAGCCAAAGATGCCGTCTACGCCTCCATTATCAAGAGCTACTATCTCCTCCTAATGCTAATGCGCCGTTATCCCTCTCCAGAGGAACTCATCGAGCGTGCGCGCGAGCAGGCAGAGGAGTATACCGAAATTGCGCGAGAGGGAGCGCGAGATCTAGCCGAACGCACGAAAGAAGGTGCAGAGGGGGTTTTGGCTGGGACGTCTGGGGGAGTGGCTGTTGATATGACTTCTAATTCGGCGAGTGCTGCTGAGACTGCCGATGCGGGTAAGGAGGCTTCTGGTATTGATGCTTCTTCTGGGCTGAAGGTTCCTGTCTCGCATCTATCTGAAGACGTTAATGAGACTGCGGAATTGGTGGGTGATTATGTTGAGGATGAGGCTGCTGAGTGGAAGAGCTTTTATCATTGGTTTTGGGAGAAGGACCGAGGAACGCATAAAGTCTGACTTGTGGAGAGCAATCATTGTTTCGAGGAGTTGATCCCGGAGTTTCATATTTCTTTTGTCTCTCTTCTCTTGTATTTATCTGGATGGAATTCTCAAGTTAACCCTCCCGCAATTTGCAGTCTCCCGGCTTACAATGGATGTGGCGTCGGCGTAAGATGGGAAGCACAGGCAGCCAAGCTGGACAAGCCATTGGAGGTCAGTAGAGGAGAGATAAGAGAGAACGAGAACGGTCCGGGGGTTCCGGGTCCAGAATTTTAATGCAAGACTCATAGTTAAGAGGCGTTTTTTCCAGTACGTTGGAGAGTGTATCCCCACGATGCTTTGACCGGTCTTGTCTTGGGAAATGCTCGCTTTGTAAAGTCAATTGCTTGGATTAGGTCATGCTCGCGAAGATAAGACCCTTTAACTTGTGCTATTCATTTCACTCTTACCCTCGCCTGGTCCCCTGACCTGACATTATGTCCTTCACGAAAGCCTCAAGACCAACTTCACGTAGATGGCTAATATATGCGTATTTGGGTCGGAAACACGGAGGACGGTCTCCCTATTAGGAAATGGCTAGCAATTGAGAACCGAGTAGAAGAGTGTCTGACTTCACCGGCTTAATTTTACAATTCCTAGGCTCTATCTCAGAAGCCACAAATATGGATCAATTACGTCGAGCTTTTCTAACATTGACAATCCCCGAGTAATCTAAAATAAGACTCAGATAGGTCATGTCAATACCAAGATAGATGCATCAATCATTAAATTCATCCCAGTGAGTATTTCAATTCAGTTTTCTGGCAAATCTCAGCCATCTCACTGACTCTTGCTCTCGACGTGGATTTCTGCTGAGACAAAGGCAGCGCGGAGCTCCTTGGCCGCCTCCCACAGCACCCACAGAGGGATGAAGACCCACAGTGTGTTGAAGAAGAAGAGGTACAGCCAGAGGTAGACGGGGTCCTCAGTAGCCAGCTGGGAGCTACCGGTCAACCACTCCGGGGCAAAAGTCATGAAACCACCGTACAACTCTGCAGTGGCAAGTGCAGTCGAAACGAGCCATAATGTGGCTTTGACACCGCCACGGGACTTAGCACTGATCTTCTCGTTGGATGACTGATACAGCAGGTAACAGATGTAAATTGCAGCTGGGCCACCAAGGAAGACCGTCAACAGTTCCAATGACACCACGGTCAGATCAGCGCCAGCCCAGCGGCGATCCGCCTTCGCATACTCTTGCCACAGGCGTGAGCTGGGACCTGTGCCGTAGGCCGGGCCATAGATGCGATCTGGGCGGTTTAGGAAGAAGGGTTCGACATGGTTGATTCCGATAACGGTTGTGTAGCTGAAGAAGCACTCGTAGAGGAAAGAGCCTTCAATAAAAATATGGGTGAGGGCATCGTAGGCGTGCCAGAAGAACAGGACGCGGTCGCGCGTCTTGTTGGCTGGGACAAGTGTCGAGCTCAGAAAGTAGGCCACTGGCATCAATGACAGAGAAAAGGCAATACAGAGGACTGTTGGCACATCCAGGGTGAACGAAGCCGTGGATGACATGGTGGTAGTGGAGGTTGTTATTTCGAGATATCGCGCAGGGGTGGAGAAGGCTTGTTTCGGAGGGCCGGTGTATGGATGTGGCAGCCTGATGGAAATTGACAGTTTCAGGTGCGTATCATGCTTCGAAGAAGTGGTCGACAACAGAACGTGGGAGTCTTTGGAAGGAAACAAAGAATTAGGGGCTGAAGAGATCAACATTAGTTCTGCCTCAGGCAGCAGGTGAAGCAGGTGGGTCATTGTCTCTCTGCAACTACATGTAAACCTCTCCGTTGCAACTGGTGGTCATTTGAACAAATTTCCTTTTGTCTCACATGAACGGCACGACTTCTATTGGCCAATTAGTTGCCCAAGTTCCTATAGCATAGAATAAAACATGCATTGATCAACCAGCGTTTTGGATTCAACTCATGTAAATTGGCCAGAAGTAAAAAGGAAATCTGGGTTCTACATACTCCCTGGTATTTACACTATAATCCGAAAGGGCTAAGGTTCGTGATTCATGAGGCAATGAAGCGACCACACCGTTTATGACTGAGCGATAGTAGCTGGAAATTTCTACCACTGGCATACTACATTGATGAGTATTTACATGGGTTTCTGCGATGTGTTGGCAGCAGTAGCTTCTTCTATCCCCGGGGTCCTATTCCATACCAGCATTCTAGGCCAAGGAAGCCACCTGGAACTTAACGACTTTCCCAAAATTGTGCATCAATGGCAACGAGTCTGTTGAAAAGCTGGTTCCGCGACCTCATACCAGTAAGATGGTAAGACTGACCAAGCTCGTCGCCCGCAATGACTAGCCCATCTGCAGCCTCCTTGCTGCCAGCCGTCAGTTCAACAATCAACTTGCCCTTCCACCCCAGTCCTTCTGTCTTCTTTAATTCCTTAATTTCAGTGACAGGGATTTGGAACAAGACAGAACCCTTCTTTCGACTCTCGATGCGTAGGTCGTCCAATCCGGAGGACTGGTATGTCGTGAAATACAGGATAGGCGGTTCCTTTGACGAGTCTATGACCGCAGCACCTCTCTTACGCTCATACTTGGCATCGAATTTCAACGGCCCGTAGGGTGTGGCGGCAAAATGTCGCTTTTGCAGCATGTCGATCAGGTTTTTGGTATGTGCGGACCCTGCAATTGCCATTGCGCGGTCAAATGCGATATGGCCCTTGATTGCTGTTGCGATGGTGAGGCGGAAAAACTTGAGAATTCTGAAGACCATTCTTTTCTTTGGTTTGGTTTCCGGGAGTGACATATCAGAGTTAGTTGATTGCAGGCTAGTAGACGAACCCTGTGCGGTGAGTTCGGACGAGGTTGGTTGCGACTTCTTCCGTCGGATAGGCCATGCACGATCATTGTCTTCGGGAGTTGGAGGGGGTGGCAGTGGGGTGGAGTTAATCTCGCCAATGCGAAGAAGTGTCAGGGTGAGTTGTGCATTCGTTGGGACGCCGGCCAAAAGTGTCCTGCATGTGTTGTGAGTAAACCAATCGCAGGCCGGCAAAGACGGGCAATCCTACTTTTGCAAATCCAATTGGTCTTTCCAATTTGGAACCTTTCTATTCAGTAAATCCACGGTATGGGTAAATACCGGGTCACCAAAGAAGCCCAGTCCAAGAGTAAAACCAACGAGCTTGATGATCCAATAACTAGATGTGAAGGGTACAACCGCAGATATTAAAACAAAGATACTTGCGAGGCGCAATCTAGATGAAACTAAAAAGAAAGGAGGTGTCGGAGAAAGGAGGCTATAACACTGTTAGCTGAGTCATTTACTCTATCCCCGTTTAGAAAGTACTCACTTGGCGAACTTCTCATAGACATCGGTGATATCGCTCAACACTCGCATTGCCTGATCCGTCGCGTGCGAAACCTTCTTTTTCATGGGTTTCTTAGTTTTGTCTTCAGGAGCGTCACCATTCGGAGATTCTGCGGCAGCTTCCGCGGCCTCTATACCATCAGTTATCAAGGGCCTCTCGGGCGCTTCCTCCGTAACTGTTTGGCCGTATTTAGCCGCCGCACTCTCCATTGCAACAGTAGCAAAGCTGTCAACAAGGTTTCTTGCCTCTTGTTCGGCAGCTTCACCCTTGTGGTTCTCTGGAGCGCCCGTCAGGCTATCTTGAGATTGAGGCTGGTCTGTTGGAGAGCCCCTCCCGTTCGATTTATCGGCTCCCTCCTTCTTGGCAGGGCCCGGGAATAGTAGTAGGCGGACGGACGGGACCATTATCAAAGCGACGATAAGACCCAGTATGGTCGGAACGAGGAGGTCGACAGCCCATGCGATGAAATAACCCTGGATCTCATGAGTTCTTGGTTCATTGTCCTGCAGAGAATTGACCTACCCCACAGAAAAGCGACGTTCGCACAGGTTCTTTCCATGATCGCAGTCGAGTGATATGCCGGATAAATTCGGTCACACCCACAATAACAGACGTATAGAATCGCTCCAAGGTCATCCGCAGTTTCTCGGGCGGGAATTGTTCGTTTTCCGTGCGGTTGAGGTCCAAGTTCAACGCAGCGACATCGTGTACGGCTTTGACATGGTAGATTTGCTGCTCACGCGTCAGCTTTGCATCCCGGCAAGGGTACCACAGTCTCCACCTTGTCAAACCGCCGAAGCAACATCCACAAATCCTCATTTGATAGTCCTTGAGCAAGTGTTTCATCCACGGTCCGTGACGACGGCTTCCATTGGGGGCGTGGTGGCAGTGCTGGTGTTAGGCTCAACGATTGAAGTCCATCAGGGGTTTGGGGATCGTGGTTCTCGTCATTAAACCCCCCCGGAATATCTTGACCGTCGCTCATCTTCAACAATTCTGGTGGAGTGTGGAGGAGAGAGAGGCTTGGTGTTGCTTATCGAGCGACGTCTGCTTAGCGTGAAAGTGTGGGGATTGACGTCATTTATATTTTCAGATATGCGGAGAAGTAAACAGACAACTCAGGTACTTACTGTATATCCGGGATAAATTCTCTTTCTAAGACATGAGATTATAGAAAGTAGACAAGGTCAGTTTAGCGAGTGTCTATTTCAACTTTGGGGTTTCCATATAGCATGACCGTCCAGTGGTTGAACCTTTCTTCTAATAGTGTTAACCAGGGGTACTGAAGTGACGGTAACGGCCCGAGTAAACCCTGAGATCCCTAGCTAAGGCCAATATTGATAAGTAGATATTCGCCTACGGCTGATTTCAAACAAATCTACTGTTCAATCCTACTCAATAATATTGAACGAATATTGGTACTTGGTATCTAACAATCGATATACCGTTACTCCGCGCCAACTCCACCCTGCGCAAGGACTTCCTTGGCCCATTCACTCCCCTGCTCCTCGGCAATCATCCGAGGCGTCTTTCCCTCCACATTAGTCTGGCTCACAAGCTCCGGAGCCTTCTCCACAAACAAAGCCAATGTCCGCCTGATTTCGGCCTCGCAGGTCGTATCGTTTGTTTTAAGCCCTGCCAGACCATGA